TTTGTGTTTGTGTTTATTTGTGTTTATTTGTTTGTTTGTTTGTTTGTGTTTGTTAGTGTTTGTTTGTTTGCGTTTGTTTGTTTGTGTTTGTGTTTATTTGTGTTTATTTATTTGTGTTTGTTTGTTTGTTTGTTTGTATTTGTTCTCTCTGTTTGTTTATGTTTGTTTGTGTTTGTTCTCTCTGTTTGTTTATGTTTGTTTGTTGGTGTCTGTTTGCGTTTGTTTGTGTTTTTTTGAGTCTGACAGCCTTCTGCCTCCTCTGCAGGCAGAGTTCTGGTCCAGGATCCAGCAGAGGACACCAATCAAACTCCTCTGATGGCTGAAGAATCGGTCTGATTGGCTTATTGGTGGCTGATGGATTCTTTGATTTTCTCTGACTGAAGAAATGAGCTCCAGCTGCTCTGGATTCACCAATCAGACTCCCCCAACACAAGTTCTGTTTCCTAGTCTCTACCCTCCTTCCTAGTCTCTACCCTCCTTCCTAGTCTCTACCCTCCTTCTTCGTCTCTACCCTCCTTCCTCGTCTCTACCCTCCTTCTTCGTCTCTACCCTCCTTCCTGGTCCGTACCCTCCTTCCTAGTCTCTACCCTCCTTCCTCATCTCTATCTTCCTTCCTCGTCTCTACCCCCCTTTCCTCATATATACCCTCCTTCCTTCCTCGTCTCTACCCTCCTTCCTCGTCTCTACCCTCCTTCTTCGTCTCTACCCTCCTTCCTAGTCTCTACCCTCCTTCCTCATCTCTACCCTCCTTCCTCGTCTCTACCCTCCTTCTTAGTCTCTACCCTCCTTCCTTGTCTCTACCCTCCTTCCTTGTCTCTACCCTCCTTCCTAGTCTCTACCCTCCTTCCTCGTCTCTACACTCCTTCCTCGTCTCTACCTTCCTTCCTCGTCTCTACCCTCCTTCCTCGTCTCTACCCTCCTTCCTAGTCTCTACCCTTCTTCCTCGTCTCTACCCTCCTTCCTCGTCTCTACCTTCCTTCCTCGTCTCTACCCTCCTCCCTCGTCTCTACCCTCCTTCCTCGTCTCTACCCTCCTTCCTAGTCTCTACCCTTCTTCCTCGTCTCTACCCTCCTTCCTCCTCTCTACCCTCCTTCCTCCTCTCTACCCTGTTACCCTGCCTCTGCACGTCCATCTCAGAGTGTCTCATTCCTCCTAGCCCTTCTCAGGTCCAGGCTGATGCTCAGCTTTTCCCCCTCAGAGTCCTGCAGGACACAGAGACGCAGCCGGATGTTTAACTGAAGCTGTTTAACTGGACACAGCCAGTGGGAGGCAGATCCTGTATCTCTGTTCTGTAAAACACTTTTGTACAGATTAAAGACAGTTTTGCTTACTTTGTGTGTTGGCTTGTGTTCCTGGTGTGAGTCCTGTGGAGCTGGTTCCTGGTATGGTTCCACAGCAGGTGCTTTGGTTCCTGCTGTCCGGCATCATCTTTGCCTCCCAGCTCCCAGTTTGGTGAACTCCAGTCTTTGAGTCTGTTTCTGGACCAGTGTTTAGTCTGACCCCCTTGTCCTCCTCCCTGCCCTCCCATTGGCTCTGTGGTTCTGATGGACAGCTTCAACGACACGTTGAGAAGAAGAACATCTGACCCAGAGAGGCTCCAAACCAGAACCTGATCTCATCTCGCTTTGGTGACTGACAGTATTTTAGGGCCTAAATTTCTGAACCCAGAAAGAACTGGTCCAGTTTCAGAAACCTGAGTAGAACTGGTCCAGGTTCAGAAACCCAAGTGGAGCAGATAGATGGAGGACTTTGATCTTTTTTATGAATGTCCCCACAGAAAAATTAGAAGCTTTAAAGATGTATATTATTTTCTGATTTTCACTAAAACGTCAACATTTTGGGGATGAGAGGAAAGCCTCTGGGCCTGTTGGCGGGAAAACCGTGAGGTCCAGGTCAAAAGCAGGCACATCGGCTGAAAGTGGATGTCTGTGGCCATGTTTTGAGGCCTTTTGGTCCTGATTGGCCCTACGGTTTGGGCATGAGAGGAAGGAGTTTGATTGGGGATTTGTCAGATTTTTACCAAAATGTCAATGTCTTTGACTGAGGTTTCTTGGAGGTCATGGGGCCGAGCGATTAGGCCAAGACGCGGCCTATGTTTTGGGCCTGTATTTCCACCATTAATTTCCTGTGGGACGGCGTTTTGCCTTTTTTTGCTGTTTATTTGAAAATGCCAGCACTAATGAGAAGGAAAGATACAAGCACGTGTCCAGTAGTAGGTTCAGACGTGGGGGTGTTTTTTGGGCCTGATCCCTCAAACCGTGCTGGACTAGTTATCCGCCAAAATGTGTGAAGGAAACGGGAGAACTATAAGTTGCGGAACTAGAAAATTTCTAAATAAATTTTGAGGGGGGCCACCTACTGTCTGTCGAGTTGGAGGTGAACTTTTGATCCAATCTGACAGTTGGCTCTGTGTCAGAGCTGGAGCTCAGTGATGAGTCACACCTGTGTAGTTTGAATTCTGTGGGCAGACTGCTGTTGCCGTGGCGATCAGCAGAGCTCTACAGAACTGTGGAGCTGATGGATACATATGTTCTGGTACCAGGCGGGCAAAGCCCGCTTAGAAAGATTTAACTAATACATTGGTTCTGGTACCAGGCGGGCGAAACCCGCTTAGAAAGATTTAAGTAATAGATTGGTTCTGGTACCAGGTGGGCGAAGCCCGCTTAGAAAGATTTAAGTAATACATTGGTTCTGGTACCAGGCGCGTGAAGCCCGCTTAGAGTTACTTAGAACCTGGTTCTGGTTCTGGTACCAGGACTGGACTGGACCAGGGCACCTTCTCAAACCAATTGCATTCAGTCGGCAACCCCAGAACTCAGCTAGGTCCCTCCATCACTGCGTCTCTCCCTCAGGCCCTCTCATAGGCGCGAGCCCACATTACAGAGAGCCCAAATATCGATTGGCCGACCTTCCCCAGGTTCCCGGACGGGCAGTGGGTGGCCCCCCTCAAAATTTTATTTGAAATTTTCTAGTTTGGATACTAATAGTACATAATAATTATAACATTTCTTTTTATTTTAGATTTTGTTGGCTCTAGTGGCCTTTCATGACAGTAGCTTGATAGGAAAAGGGGCAGAGATAGAGAGACCTGCGGGAAAGGGCCATGGGTTGGAATCCCAGGCCGCCCACTTATGAGGAGAGACTCCACACATGGTCCGCCCGCTGTAACCGTTAGGCTACGCTGCGGCCCTATAATTAGAACATTTCTACAGAAATTTTGAAGGGGGTGCCACCTACTGCCCGCTCCAGGAAATCAACACGAAAATCTTAACCCAAACGGAAGAACTACAACAAGCTGGAATAAGTATGAACTAACTACGTAACCCTGGCAGAACGTGTCCGGGTCAGAAACCCAAGCAGAACTGGTCCATCAGAGGCAGCTTCCTGTCTGCAGCTCAGGTTGTGGGCTTGAATCCAGCCCACATACTGAGCTGCCCTCAGGCCAGAAGTGGCCCAAACGGATCTGGAGCCTGACCCCTGGGGGCTCTTTGGAAAAGAGGCTCTGCATGAGGCCTTTTCATTGGCCGGTCTCCTCCATGGCTGCATGACTCTGTCAGGACTGAGTTTATTCTCAAAGCCCACGTCTTCTCGCCATGTCCCTCGCCCTGTACCTTGCCAAGTCCCTCGCCATGCAATGTCCCTCGCCAAGTCCAGTCCCTCGCCATGTCCCGTCCTTCGCCATGCCAAGTCCCTCGCCATGCCAAGTCCCTCGCCATGCCATGTTCCACGCC